AAAATACTATGTTATGTGGAAACCATCGTATACAAGTCGCTCTTTGACCACAAATAGTGTCTGTATCAAAACATATAAAATATATGACAAATATGCTCAATCTCATATTATTTGATATGAGATTTATATTTGTAGATAATCACTGAACCCAAATGTTATTTAATTATAACTGAATGCAGTTGTGGATTTATAAATAGGCCTAATTTCCTTCCAGCATACTCAGAAAAAGATCATACAAAATATCTTCCAGTAAAATAAACTAAACATTTTACAGTAAAGTTCATGTATTTTTCAAGAAATTGAGCATTTATTCAAAGCCATTAACCACTGTGCTTTGATGTTTAAGGAGAAGCTATTAAACAGAAGCACTTAATTTTAACTACATTAAATGTTAGTATCGACTACTATCAGTGCTAACCTACCTGTACATCTTAAGTGTGACTGTGCCGTAGACAATGGAGAAACCGAGCATTCGCACCCAGCGGAGCAGGATGCACCTGAAGGTGCTTGGCCTGAAGTACATGATAAAGACCTGCAGAGACAGAGAAAGAAATGCTTAGTAAAAGAAAAACTACAGCTATACACGACCAACCAACAGTTTCTATTGGTGTATAGATAGTTGGCCCAACCAGTTATTAGGTTTAGGGGGCGATCACTTTTTCACCATGTAGGTTTTGGATTTCTTTCCCCTTAATAATAAACGCCTTCATTTAGAAACTGCATTTTGTGTTTACTTGTCTTATCTTTGTCTAATATGCAATTTTGTTTGATAATCTAACAGATTTAAGTGCGACAAACTTATCAAAAAATAGGAGATAAACACACCACTGTATGTACATTACCAGTCAAAAGTTTGGACACACCTTCTCATTTAATGTTTTTTCTTTATTTTTTTTTGATACTTTCTACATTGTAGATACAAACTGAAGACATTGGACATATGAAGCAAGATATATGGAATTATGTAGCGAAGAAAAAATTGATAAATAACTCTAAATATCTCTTATATTTAAGATTCGTGAAAGTAGCCACCCTTTGCTTTGCTGACAGCGCAGCAAATCCTTGGCCTTCTCTCCGTGAGCTTCATGATGTCGTCACCTGAACAGGTTTTTACTTCACAGGTGTGCCTTGTCAGGGTTCATTTGTGAAATTTCATGCCTTCTTAAAGGAGTTGGGACCATCAGTTGTGTTGTGCAAAAGTCAGGTTGGTACACAGCTGACAGCCTATTTGACAACTGTTAGAATTCATATTATGGAAAGAACCAGTCAGCTAATTAAAGAGAAACAACAGTCCACGATTACTTTAAGAACTGAAGGTCAGTCAGTCCACAAAATTGCTAAAACTTTGAGTTCCCCAAACATGCTTCCAGACTGTGTAAGGGCTATTTGACCAACACGGAGAGTGATGGAGTGCTGCCCCAGATGGCCTGGCCTCCACAGTCACCTGACCTAAACCCATTGGAGATAGTTTGGGATGAGATGGACTTCAGAGTGAAAGCAAAAGGGCCAACAGGTGCTCAGCATCTCTGGGAACTCCTTCAAGACTGTTGGGAAACCATTTCAGGTGCCGACCTCATGAAGCTCATTGATGGAACGCCAAGAGTGTGCAAAGCAGTAATCAAAGCAAAGGGTGGCTATTTTGATCTAATCAAATTTAAAACACGTTTTGAGTTGTTTCACACTTCACACTGTTTATTACATAATTCCACATGTGTTCATTCATAGTTTTGAAGTCTTCTATGATGTAAATAATCATGAAAATAAAGAAAAACCCTTCAATGCGAATGTGTGTCCAAAGGTTTGACTGGTAGTGTATACATACACACACCACAACTGTTTTTACTGATGCCTCTGCTGACCGTATAAGCGCACATCACGCCTGACTGTAATCCTGGAATTAAAACTCACTTTGCTGTGATGGTAACACGAGCAAAACAGTGTCAGCCACTCAGGATAAGAGCATAATCTATATCTTGTGATAATGTAAACGCAAACATACATCACTGTGTTCAAACTGCTTATACAGAATAAACAGTTTAGAGTGACAACAACAGGAAAGCACGTTTAATCAGTATGAATGGCCTGCACACAAACACAGATTGGGGTCTCTGTTATAGATGGAGCTGCACAGCAGAAAGAAATAATGTGATTGGTCAACCCAAAGATATAGTGCAGTGAGTAAGCTGAGCAAAATAAAACAATCAATGACAGAATAAATGGATCAATCTAATAATCCAGTAACTCTAGTGATTATTTATTGGGGACCTGTGTTCTCCAGTGCAGATTTGCATCATGGGGCTCCAAACCAAGCTCTCCTCTGATCTGACATTGTCTTTATTAACTATATACTCAAAAATGACTTTAAAGCTGAGGCTAAAAATGAGAACACAGATATCCTGATGTTTTCTAGATGCCAGTGATATCCAATAATAAAGCTCAAATCCTCCTCAATAAAACCAGTACAGTTCATTGATATAAAAATAAAGCTGCTGTTCTTATAAAGCTGAACTAATGAGTGCAGAGGGACAACAGTTGTTGTTCTCTAAAAAGTAGTTACTAAGTACCCAAAAGGTACCTGCTACTACCGGTGCTACTACACCGAGACGCTCGTATTGATCTTTTTTTTTGTTGACATTAGAAAATCCTGCTACATTAACGGGTCGTGGTGGATTTCAAAACCAGCTTGAGTATGTTGGTGGGATGGTCAACAACCTTCCTTCATGCAGGGGATTTATTTGTAGATGAAATGGCAACTTTACTTCAGTGACGCCCCAGTGAGATGACAGACCGAACTCTGACCTTTCATCTGGGGCTTTCAGAACTACAGTCAGCTATGTGGGCTGCAGGTAACCTTTGAATTAAAAAAAAAACCCTCACACAACATGATCCCAAATATTTGCTCATTTCCAGTCTTGCTTCCACCTCTTACGTCACCAAAGCAGGGTTTAGATCTTTAATTTCATAACTGAAATATATCCTGTATCCATGTTTGTATATTCTTGCCTTCCATGCTTTCGTCTGCATCATCATTTTGTATAGTTCTACACAAAATGAACTGACACATGTATCTCTGCATTTACATTTCTTTTTCTTCTTTCAGCTGCTCCCTTTAAGGGTTGCAACCGCAAATCATCTGCCTCTACTACATTAAATCTACATTTACATTTACAAGTACTTATTCACGTAAATTGACATTTATGATATTTGCATTTATTACTGGCATTGTTATTATACCAAATATAGCTGCAGGCTGCTATCTGAATAAAGCTGAGGTGACTTGACTATATTTTAGTTTGCCCATCATTGATAGGTTTGAATCGAGGGGGCGGGGCTTCTGTATTTGCAGAGTTCGCCCTTCTTATTGACATCACACAGAGTCCTGAATCCTGAGCTTTTTGTTTGCATGGATTACTTGTAAGATGACTCTGTTTCATAGAAGCACCTACCACTGTAACAGCATATATAACATAATAGGTCCACTTAACTGTGTGTGCAAAACACTGCAATCCACTACACATCTTACTTTTGGATAGCAGATTCAATAAATCTTAAAAATGAATGCGTCCTATATATTATACTGTAAAAATAAATAGCTTTGAAGATCATCACTTAAATATTCTTCAAATGTTAAAGTCAGCATTTTGTTTTGTTTCTTAAGCTGTCCTGCCTACAGCCAAGAGGAGCTCTATAAACTCTCTATAGGCTCATCTTGATATCCAGTTTCTTTTTATTTTATTCTTTTTATTTTTTTTTAAGAGTTTGCATGCTCTTCCTGTGTTTGTGTGGGCTCGCTTCCTCCCACAGTCCAAAGACATGCAGTTAGTGGGGTTAGGATAGCTGGTGAATCTAAATTGCCCATAGGTATGAATGTAAGTGTGAATAGTTGTCTCTTTGTATTAGCCCTGCGACTTTCCAGAATTGCCATGGCCCCAGGAAGCAGCCAGCCAAAAGAAGCCGGTCACCCAGTCCAGAGCCAGCACCCGCGACTGCAAGCACCCTGGACCCCACACTTCAAGAATGCAGGGCAGCAATGCTACCCCACCATCTCACCACACCTCAGCTAAAGCTCGGCCTCTTCCAAATCAAAGGCCAAGAAAAATCCTGTTTCAGAATTAGGATTGTCTCATGATCATCCATCCATCCGTCCGTCCGTCCGTCCGTCCGTCCGTCCATCCATCCATCCATCCATCCATCCATCCATCCATCCATCCATCGTGGGGGCAGCAGCCTAAGCAGAGAAGCCCAGACCTCCCTCTTCCCGGCCTTCTCCTTCACCTTGTCCGGGGGAACCCCAAAGCAATCCCAGGCCAGCCAAGGGATATAATTTCTCCAGCGTGTCATGAGTCATCTCATCCTTGTCAGATGCTCAATCCACCTCAACTGGCTCCTTTCAATGTGGAGGCTCTACTCTGAGCCCCTCCCAGATGGCCGAACTATCCCTGTTGGAGAGGCCAGCCACCCTCCAGAGAAAGCTCATTTCCGTCGCTCGTATCCGCACGTATTATATGATCATGTTTCTTTTTAAATCTACAATCTAATGCAACCACCAAATACAAAGCACCTTATGAAGTGAATAATTGCTCTATTATACTCTCAAAATTCA